AAACCACACCTGTAACGCAATCTTTGCTTATAAAATTCCACAGGAGTGGGCTACAAATTGTGCGCAGCTGGAATAGCTTCACTTCCGCCTGTTACACGCCCCTTTTTAACCATAAATGGTCAATGCAAACGAACCTCATGAATGCGATCTGCATATAAAAACAGACTTCAGGATGCAGGTATTATTGTCTTGTTCGGAAAACAATGGCAGAAGGGACTGAGAAAAGCAAAAAAAGCAAAATTTTTTCACGGGAGGTTGAAAGTTTGGGAACACTTGTGCGTGGAGGTGGAGCCCGAAAAAGTAGTTTTTGATTTCGGGCGGTCACGGGACTGGGGATCACTAAGAAGAAAAAGGCAGAGTGGAGTGGCAACATTGTTGCTGCAGCAGTTTGAACTCTGTCAGGTGGCACGGAGGCGCACAGTCCCAGAATTAAAAAAAGAAAGGTTTTGGGTCTGGACACGTAAAATGTTTTCTTGAACATAAACCCTTTTTAATGGGCCTGATTTTGTCATGAAAAAGCATCAAGGAGGAACGGAAACAATAATATACGATTGTGCTGAGGAGTATGTGGCTTTGTTTTCCACACTTGGGATTTAATTGACATTTGATTATGTGTTTTACAGGTGTCATATTAAGGAATATTATGTTATTGACACATGTTGGACAGATGCTTCTAATTCCATGCAGTCGCGGCGTCCTCTCCTCCTTTTTTTTCCTGCGCTTCCGGGAGCGGACAGTAATGGAGGTGAGGGATAAATATAGAGAATTTTTGATTTTTGAATTTTCATTTCGATTCTAAGGGGAGATGGGTTTCTGAGTAATAACTGAAGAAATAACGCAGTTGACTTAAATTTCATTCTGATTAAACATTAGATTTTTAACGCATGATACGGGTTTGAAATTAAAAATTATTGAAGGGGCGGATGATAAAAAAACATAAATTTTTCGGTTCTTCTCACGTCTACATTTCTTCATCTGACTTCCAGTTCACCACCCACACCCGTCTGTGGTCGGCCAATTCTCCTTTTCCTTCCAAAACCATGCGTATCGCATGGTTCAAGTTTGCTTAGGCTGCGCACATTCTCCCGTCAAGTTTGTTTTATTATAGATCACAAACCTTGGGCGTGGAAAGTCAACGTACGCCACTTTTCATGGCCCCGTTTTGTTGCGCTACGCAACGTTTATACGGTTATAAATGAGACCCCTGACCCTTGCACTTTTAAGGACGTCCGATATCTTTTGTCAGCTTGACTCGATTGCTCGATTGATTCCTGATTATAAGTTATTGATGGATATTGGGACAGGAGGTGCAGTGCTGGCTGAATGAAGCTGGTTTAAACTCCCGCTGTTGATTTATGACTTTATGGCGTTTTATCTGCAGCTGTAATGTCATTATCAAACCCGGTGAAGGTCACCGCACCGCGTTCAGGATCCATAAAGGCCCGATAGAGTGACATAAGAGCTCAAACAGGTCAGCCTCTGCTGTTGGGGAATAATCAATAATCACGTTGATCAGTTCAGATTCTAAACAGAGCTGCATCCACTCTTTATGCTAAGCTAAGCTAACCATGAGTGTTTGATTTGTTTAACGTTTCATTTGTAAGAGCTGTGGCTCTTTTTTCCAACGTGGTCCAACAGTCAACGGATCGGAACCGGTTCCTAATCTCAAACCAGGTCCAATGAAAGGAGGTGGAAAATACCTGACAGAAAGACCTGGTTCGGCATTAGGTACCCACTCCGAACCGGCCCCTGCCTTCGTGGAAAAGGGATTGAACCAACTCTGAACCAGAACTAGCACCAGCCCACAAAGCGGCACTGGCCATCATCCTTCTACCCGTCTTTCAGAAGCTAACGCATCCATTGGTACCAACCAGGAAGGAGGCTAAATAATGCAATAATGCAAAGTTAGGCAACATTTCTGCCATTTTCAAAGGGATCCATTGACCTCTGACCTCAGAATATCTCTATACTGTAGAATAAAGTGCAGTAGTTGATGATTTAGTGATCTTTTGTTAATGTTCCATTAAAGAAAGGGATTGAAGGTCTCTCAGCAGCAGCAGCAGATGAATTCTGGCGCTTCAGGCGATGTTTTTTAGCAAAGGAACAAAAGCTGACAGACTGGAAACCAAAAGCTCCTCATTCTCCTCCCCTTTCTCTAAGCGGTGACAGTGTACCAGTCTCTGAATAATCCCCAGTTCAGAAGAGATCAAGTCTGATCACTTGTGGCTGAAAGTGAGACCACATTAACCCTTATTGAACTGCGTCTCAGGAAGCTGCTTCCTTTCCTGTTTCCCTCTGAAAGCAGAAGGTCTGTTGGTTCTGCTGCAGTCGGCTGTTTGAGGAATATTTCTGCTGTGATTCATGCAGCATGTGAGCTCCGACATGTTGAAACTCGCAGCGGCTTGCGGAGAGAGTTCAGCTTTACACGACATCTCCACCGAGTCTTTCCACAGATGGTTTTACACACAAACATCTGATCCATCCACTGGAGGACCTAAAGGTTTAAATCAGACTGTTCTCTCACATGTATAGGAGACAGGAGTTGAGCTGGGATTGGTTTGTTTTCTTGCTGCTGTTGAGATAGTGAAAGTCTGTGAGGATTACAGACAATCCTGGGTGTGAGGGTGTAGGTTAGGCCAAAGAAGAACCCGTTAGATATTTGACTGGATCTGAATCTCAGGGCGGATGAACACATTATGTTTCTCTGGCTTAAAGAAGTGAATTTGTTTCTTGTGTGCAAACCCATCATGATGAAAGTGAATGCTTAAACAGCGCTGTAGAAACAAACGCAGTATGGATGTCAGAAACAAGCAATCTGACACCTGATTTTTATATTCTTTTCCAAGTTGGAACTCGTCATAATGAAAGTGAAAGGTCTCCAGTACTGCAGGGGGTACTTGACTTCCTGAAATAATTATATAATAAGTTCAATAAAAAGTATGAACTTATTGCGTACCGGTAACTCCTGGTAAGGTGAGATACACCTGAAGACCCGCGTGAAGACCCGCCCTGCTCTGCCTCTGATTGCGTGTTCACTGCCTTTGTTGGTCGGTCAGGTTTAGGCATGAATAAATGTCAAGTTTAGAGCCAATCAGGGCAGAGCAGGGGTGGAAAACAGGTGGGACACTAACGCCTGTTTAAACACATTGCGAGCTTAACGCTGAGAGAAAGCACCAAAACATTTGGGGCTCTGCTGAATTAGAGTAAGGAAACCTTTTGTTGTCCATTTCAGGCGCTGTTAATGTGGGTTTCTTTATAACCAGTAAAAACAGAACCCAAAGATAAAAACCAGCTTCAACATTACTTCCTTTTCTAAACAGAATATATCAGTATAAAGTAATATATAATATAATATAAAGACTATAAACATCAATAATAGTCTCACTCTGTGTGTGGAAACTGATTAAATAATCTGTAGATGAATCAATAATAAAATAATCTGACTGGATTACAAATACACAGTGCACAGTTAGCGTGAAGCATTATTTTCATACAATCAGTTATTGTCAGACTGCAGCTGATAGTTGAACTTTAATCATTAACAGATTATTCAAATATCTGCTGGTTAGTTTTATGTTCATTGATTCATTTGGATTATTTGGACATCAGGACATCAGGACAGAGACAGTTTTCATTCTTGAAAAGCAGCTTCTGGAGTTTGAGGAAGATGTGATCCTGCACATGGTGCTGGGCCTGTTCGTCCTGGTTCTTATCTTATCAGAGTTTTGATTAGAAAGAGGCCAGTTGGCAGTCTTAAAGTTCTCTGATAGCAGCGTCTTCTCTCAGCGGGGTTAAAGGTCCCAGCGCTGATATTCTCCACCTGGAGCTCGCTGCTGCAGCCGCTGATGTTGCTGCTGCAGATAATAAACCAATCAGAGCTAATCTAGCTGCAGCGTGTCCAGGTGAACGTTCCAACGGAGCAGGAAGATAAAGAAGAAACGTCCTTAACATGTTTGAGATTAAATCTGACTGAGAAACTACACGTGTGTCAGCACAAACACGTGTTTCAATCCAACATACGACAGAAGAGTCTGATCTCCCATGAGTCTTAGCTGCAGAATTACAGATACTTTTACTTTGGTAAAAGGTTTTCTGACCGCTGTAAACACTGTCACTTCCTGTTTTTGTTTTTGTCTGCAGGTCATTTTCCCAACAAGGCGATGCCGTCGGCCGGCACGCTGCCCTGGCTTCAGGGAATCCTCTGCAACGCCAACAACCCCTGCTTCAGAAACCCGACGCCCGGCGAGTCTCCGGGAGTCGTCGGAAACTTCAACGACTCCATGTGAGCCCGCCCTGTTCTCAGAGCTTTTATTCTGAAACATTTACAAATGTTTGACTTCTGTCTTCCTGCTGTCCTTGCTTCGGTTACTAACGATGACTTCCTGTTCTCTGATTTCTGTCCAGAATTTCTCGTCTGTTTTCAGACGCCAAGAAGATTCTCCTTTACAGTCAGAACGATAAAAACCTGGACGGATTCAAGGAGCTCGCTCAGGCTCTGCAGGCGCTGCAGAACAGCCAGTCAGGTAGGAAACAGTCGGTAACAGACAGTAACGAACTGTAACAGACAGTAACAGTCAGTAACAGACCAGATACAAGACAGTAACACAATACCAGGGAGACGAGCAGTATACAGGTCGTGGGGACAGTACCAGTATGGAGTGACGTTCAGTAAATAAAAGACAATTAACAGGTAATTGAGCTGTACGAACGCTACTATGTAATAAGGACAGTAATCAGACACCCGTATACTACGAAACTGGATAAGCGTCAGTAAAAGACAGTAAAATGTAACCGTCTAAGTCTGTTACAGTCAGGTTGGAGTATCAGACAGTAACAGAACCCTTGATAAACAGCTACAGTAAGACAGACCAGATACCAGAAACCACGATAAACTAGACGATTAACTAGTCTGTTACAAGTCAGTCATGGTAATCAGTACATTTCCTAACTCAAATGCTTGACAGTTACAACACAGGGACAGTAAGGCGGAACCAGGAACAGTCCAGTAACAACACCTGTATCCTACGGTTAGTCCAATGTTTGTGATCTGATTTATCTCAGATAAACTCGCTCTCTAAATTGCCAAATTAAAATATAAGTAAGGCAGTTAAACTAATGAAAGTTGAGCTTTTAGGGGCGGAATAATTCTTTGAGCGCTCTATATATATAGATTTTTCTCTCATAATATACCCAGCGTACTTTTAGGCTGACCCTGAATTGTATGAACCAAATTGCCTTGGGGACATTAAAGAACATTTTGTAATTCAATTCCAACATTCAATTCCATCCAACTCTGTCATTCTCTCGCTGAGCATACTACGCACCCCCGCCTCCCAAGTGGATTCTGACCCACTTGAGAACCTGGTTTGGCAGTCCCTCCTCTGCTGCTGGTTTTTCAGGCTCGATGAACAAGAATTTTGTCTCCTTTAGTGATGTTAATCTTGCCAGTTTTATCTCTGTGGGGGGCCGTTTTTCTCTCATAACTGACTCGACTGAGGGAACAAAACCAGCATGCGCCTCCACCCTCCCTCTTGTCTAAGCATCCTCTTACCCACCTTCTCACTCTGATGCAGCTCTTTATTCTCTTTAATTACATCTGATCACACCATCTGAGCTGCTGTGATGTGAGCGGGGGCGGGGAGGCGAGCTGCAGCAGGTTTACCTGTTGGAACCTCCTGAGGTGATCTCACCTGAGCAGGGATCAGCCTCCAAGCTGTCAGAGAGCCGGTGGACCAGAACCTCAGAGTCTGCAGACCAGAACCTCAGACCTGGCCTCAGCGGGCGGCGGTCAGTGTGTCGCCGCCATCACACTGAGAGCCGCCGGGTTCAAACGCAGCTGAACAAACTTCATCCGGACACACGAGGATCTGAACCGGGATCAGTTCACTTCAGGGTTCAGGGTTTTTGACAATCCCTGGCTGTTGATTGGTCGGCTGCAGTGTAACAATGAATCATTAACAACAAGGAGTAAACGTCTGATTGGAGCCGACGTGTTTCTCTGTTGGAAGCCCGTCCTCATTTGACCAATCACATCACAGCGAGCTGCTGATGTCAGACAGCTCAGCGACCCGTCACTAACGTCCTCCTGAGGGCGGTTTGTCCCTGCGAGGCCTCCGTAGCTCCAGCCTGCGCTCCTCACTGCAGCTAACTGTTATTGATTAGTGATCGGCTGATTGGGAGACTCAGTGTGTTCATTGAGTTTAAACTATTGACGATATAATTATTAGAATATCTTTCCTTCAGATATTTTGGCCATTTCATTTATGTGTGCGGGGCTTTGTCCAATAAATAGCCGCTGGGATGCAGGTTTCCTCCGAGTCCTGCAGACGTGTGACAACATGCAGCCGACGCTGCTTGCGTGTTTTATCTCAGACGCCCAAATATGGTCACAGCTTCCCTCTGCCAGTCTGCAGCCTCACCTGGAGCTGAGAGAGCTGATCCAGAGTTCTGGTTCGGTTCATGTCCACAAAACTGACCAGGAGGAGGGAGGAGGAAGAGGACGAGCAGGAGCAGGAGCAGGAGCAGGAGCAGGAGCAGGAGCAGGTTTCTCTGATTGTGGTTCTTTGTGTTTTCCTGTCTCAGGATTCCAGCTGAAGCACTTCCTGCGGGACAATGAGACTCTGTCTGCGTTCCTGCGAAGCAACGCCTCCTTCCCCGAGCTCAGCGTGGAGCACATCAGGGAGGCCCACGTCAACCTGGAGAAAGTGAGGACCAGTCTGCACATGCTCAGTGTAAACATAAAAACAGACATTGATGAACTTGCAAACTTTCTCTCTCAGATCCTCCTCAAAGGTTTTGGGGTCCACCTGAGGGACATGTGTCCCAGGGAGGGGGGCGAGCAGAGTCTGGAGGACTTTGTGACGATCTCGGACCCGCTGACATCGGCGCTGGTACAGGAAGTCCTCTGTCAGGCCCCGCCCACCTGGCTGAATCACGCAGAGGAGCACTTCCTAAACAACCTGGACTTCCTGAAACCCATCCAGGTAAAACACACCTGAGAGCTCTGATTGGTGGATCAGATTATCAGATATTTCTGTAAATATCTAAAAGTTTCTTAATGAACTATTGATATTTTCATTCGTCTGTCAATTGTTTTCACCAGTAATCGATTAGTTTGGTCCAGAAAAATATTGATCCTCAAAGATCTTCAGTTTACAGACGTTCACTCTGAAATCAGATTCAGAAACGAGCAGTTAACGAATATCTGCTGATTAATGTAATAATAACTATATAATTATTATAATATTATTATTTTATTCAAATATAAATAATTATCAGTTAATTCAACTCAAACAATTTCTGTATGAAAAAAATGGATTTCAATAGAAGTAACTAAGTATTATTGTAAAGGTAACTTTGGTAAATTAAGTTAATTGAACTTAAAACTAGTCAGTATGTTACAGAATTTATCTGAAGAAAGTCTCTTTAATACATTTTATTATTATTTATACAAATGTTCCCACTTTAAATTTTAAAACAATTAATCGATAATCAATACGTTTTCTGCGGACCATCTAATGGAACAGTTAACTATACTTGTTTTAAGTGACTCACATTAAATCTTTCCACTTATAAACAAACACTGATCACCATAAATACTGCACACATTCATTAGTTGATTAGAGGTTTTACTTCCACATTATTTAAATCAACTTCTTTTACTGAGCTGTGTCTGTTTCATTACTTTGATATAAAGAAAGATTCCTTCCAAATATAATTCAGGTTCCTGCAGGTTCAGTGTAAGACCTTTAAAGACCTTTATGGATGCACTTTAAGAGCTATTTTACACCCACACGGACAAAGAAAGTACAAAAGATGTCAGTGATCCATGTCTGCAGGGTTGGGAGGATCGGCGTACTTTAACTGTACTCAGTAATCTAATGATCACAGTAACTGGATTACTTTCAGTTACTTTTGAAATTTCCTCAACAGCAAATATTCAAATAAAGACTGAAAAAATCTGATTTTGATGTTTTCTGTGTCAGTGGGTTTCTAACCTGAGGGTCGAGACCCCCACTAGGGGTCGCTAAGGCCTCACAGGTGGTCGCAAGGTCGTCTTGATTTTAAAGGTTGTAAGAAAACTTTAAAAAACATCATCAGTAGGCAGATATCTATTTAAGACATTAAATTATTTTAATCATTTATTTTATTTTGTTTGGGCACATGCTGCCAAGTTTTGTTTATTCTGTTTATAAGTATATTAGGATATAAGTATATAAGTATATAAGTAGAGTATATAAGTATAAGCAGTATCAGTTACACTGTGAGAGATTAAAGGTGTGTGTTGTGTTGAGTGCTTTCACCTGAAGCTCCAGGTGTGTGTGTGAGTGTGTGTGTGTGTGTGTGGGAGGAGGCGTGTCCCGGCGTGTCCTCGCTCTGTACAGTCTCAGTTTTCGGCGCCCGGAGACTCGTTGGTTCTCTGTGAAAGCGAGCTGCACGTCAGCGAGTCTTTTGTGTGCAGAATGTACGAGCTGCTGACGGAGCGTGTGAACACACCATCTCCACGGCAACAGGGACACACGACTGTAAAATCCCGCAGTCAGAGACAGTTTACGGCCTCAGTCAGAGGACGTTAGAAAGACAGTGAGTAAATCTCAGATCAATGAAATGTCCTATTGATTATTAAAATGTGTCTTTGTGTCTCTCAGAGGGAGGTGAAGTCCGACCCCGACGCCGTCAAACAGGTTGCCAGGGCGACCAACAACCTCCTGGACAGTCTGGGTTCGCTGGCGGTAGAGGTAAGAGACACCGCTGTGATGTCTTCAATGTTCAATCAGACGTGTCCTACAGTGAACACACAGATAGACAGACACCTACAGTGTACAGTCGTGTCCTCCAGTGTACAGTCGTGTCCTCCAGTGTACAGTCGTGTCCTCCAGTGTACAGTCGTGTCCTCCAGCTTCCTCCAGCAGCAGACTGGGGGCACTGGGTTCTCCTGGCAGTGTCTCAGTGTCTCCGTGAGTCTTTGTGTCCACATAAAAGCTGTTTTCCTGCAGCAGAGACAGACGAGCTCCCAGCTGAACAAAGACTCAGAGAACAACAAACACTCAGTGTCTTGCTGAGACGCTACAGACTGCAGCTGGTGGACATGTTGGAGGTCACAGAAACACAGAGGACACTCTTAAAGCTCCACACGACAATATTAACATTTAATATTCACAGTGAAAGTGGTACCACAATGACCCACCATCAACTCTACAGCTCTACTGGGATAGACTGGGAGAGCCTGGAGACAGTTCAATTCAATTTTATTTGTAGCACCAATTCATAACAGAAGTT